AAAGTGCTGGGATTACAGGTGTAAGCCACTGCACCTGACCCTGTTTGTTCCTTTTTTAAAAGGATGAAATGAAGGTATATAAAGTTCTTAGCACAATACATGGCACATACTAAATAATAAATGTTACCTATTATTTTAAAATGCTTTATTATTTTAAAATTTGTTATATTTTGAAATGCTTAAGCATAACAAGTGATACAATTACACTTGGAGCTCAAAATAAAACTGAGATGGCAGCATGGTATAATGATTAAAAGAGAGGATTCTGGAGCCAGATTGCCTGCATTTGAATCTCAGCTCTGACCTTAACTAGTTGTTTGTGACTTTTGACAATTTCTAAAACTTCTCTGCACTCAGTTTCTCCATCTGTAAAACAGAGATAGTCATTGCTCCTATTTCATAGAGGTGAATGAGTTATGATATGTAAATATTTACAACTGTATCTGCCACAAAGAAAGCATTCTAGAAGTGTAAGCCACTAGTTTTTATTCCTTTCAATCCTGACTGTCCACAAGAGGGTTAACGTTTTGTTCCGCATTCTACACTTTTGTCCTCTTTATCCAAGGTTCTTATTTTACTTTAGTATTGGATCAAGTTCTACTCTATTCTGTATTTGAAAAACACTAAGATTTTGTTTAATAAATTTTCAGAGTATTAGTAATAATTTTTATAATCTACAAAGGCACTAAATTTCAGTGAGAAAAAAGGCAAATAACAACACTAGATGTTCTTACAAGGACTGTATTACGACATTTAATGCAGCAGTGCCTGAAATCCCAAATGCAAACGTTATTATGAACTGCCTAACGCAGATCTAGTCTTTCCTTGGCACGCAAGTCAGCACCAATAAAGCGGAAATGAAGACAAGTGTACAGCACTTACAAGAAAGTTAATCTCACTTTTCTTCCTCAGGAACATTCAGTGATGGATCCTTTCTTATAGCAAGTGACACAATTACACTTGGCACTCAAAACAAAACAAGTCCCATATGATGATTTACAACACATGAAATTTAGAGTTTATAAGAGCATGTGAGGCCAGTGCCAACATAAGAGAATGGTCACTGCTGGGCATTTCCAGGCTCCTCTTGGCTTCGGCATTGGGCAATGCTGCTTGCAGGAAGCCACAGAATTTAAAGACTGTGGGTTTCTTCTCAGACTCGAGATAGTCTGTGCACTCCTTCTGGAGGCTGGTGTGGACAGAACTGAACCCTCTACAAACGCTATTTTTAATATATTAGATTTGAATGCTTTATTAACAGGAAGCACACTGGTTTTATCCAATGAAATTTCCTTCCTTCCTTCCTTCCTTCCTTCCTTTTTCTTCTTCTTCTTCTTTTCTTTCTTTCTCTCTCTCTCTTTCTCTCTTTCTCTCTTTCTTTCCTTTCTTTCTTTCTTTCTTTCTTTCTTTCTTTCTTTCTTTTCTTTCTTTCTTTCTTTCCTTCCTTCTTTCTTTCTTTCTTTCCTTCTTTCCCTCCCCGCCTCTCTCTCTCTATTTTTTACATGGAGTCTTGCTCTTTCCCCCAGGCTGTAGTGCAGTGGCATGATCTCGGCTCATGGCATCCTCTGTCATCTAAGTTTAAAGGATTCCCCTGCTTCAGCCTCCTGAGTAGCTGGGACTGCAGTGCACTCCACCAGACCCAGCTAATATTTTTTGTATTTTAGTAGAAACGGGGTTTTACCATGTTGCCAGGATGGTCTCAACCTCCTGACCTCATGATCCGCCCACCTTGGCCTCCCAAAGTGCTGGGATTATAGGCATGAGCCATCACACCCAGCTGATTATCCCACGAATATTTTTAAGGGATAGATTATATCATTCTGAGTAGTAAGGTGAAAAACATAAGCACACACTGAATGTACTAATGGCCATATTTCAACACAGTCTTACTTTTGGAATCTGACCTATTTAAAAAATAATAATAGGTAGGTATGCAAGGGAAAAAATTTCTTTTCCACCTTCCACATTGCAAAACATCACATTGTTAATGTTTACATATTAAACACTAATCAGAAACAGAACATTTTCCCAATGCTGCTACCAAAGTAATGATTTTTTAAAAAATTAATTCCCTTTTGCTTTAAAGGAAATTCTTGGGATACATGGACCAAAATAACAATAGACCCAATCAAGCACACAGTCTTTGGAGCAGTTTGCAATCCCAGCTCTGCCACTGCTGGTTGTATGTTCTTGAACAAATTACATGGCCTTGTACAGCTACATCTCCAAGATCCCTTTTCCTCCTCTGTTTAAGACTTCATGAGTTTGATAGGGTTTTTGTGAGAATTTAATCATAAAATCCACTGACTGTACGACTAGTGTCTGGAACACAATAAATAAACAATAAATAATGAAATTAAATGACATATTAATCCTAGGTATGTCCTTATTAATCTGCTCCTTTGAATAATAATTTCTGCCAATCTCCTTAGCATAACTCTTCCACACAATACACGGAATGCTTCAAAAAGGAAAACAGAACTCTAAGAATAGGAATTTCCAATCCATGTACTTGCCTGAGGATTATAGAACCTTTTATACTTTATTTAACTTGAGGGGGCTCTTCTTGATCAGATTTCATCCCACATTTTGTACCACTGAATGTGTTTTGTGTTCTCAGCCACAGGATGGAAGGCACATGAGGGGAAACACTGGCCCCAAGAAAGCTCCCAGCCAGCCACCGGCACCTCCATACCCAACCCAAACTGGTCTCTGCCTCCAGTTTTCCAACTTCAACTTTCCTTCCTACCTTTCTTTCTTAGGCTCTCAAAGATAGTGATGATGGAGATGATGACAGCAATGAAGCTGCTGGTAATGTTACTGATGGTAACTAAGAATTATTTACCATTTATTCTGAGCCAGAGCAGACACTACAAGCAACAGGCAATCAACATGAAAATCATTAACAAGACATTTTGCATTATTTTTTCTGTTCTGTCTCCAAAGTCCTATGTGTATTTTACACATCCAGCACTTGGCAATTCAGACTTTGTACCTATTATTCATTTCATCCTCCAAACAGTCGTAAGAATTAGGTACTATGATTATTTCTATTTGACATATAAAGAAACCAAAGCTTAGAGAAGTTAAATAACATGTCCAATGTTGCACAGTGAGTTTGTAGCAGAGAGCCAATTTGCAAGCAGATCAGACCACTAACCAGGGCCTTTATTCACACCCCCAGGTGACACCAACTCCGCAGTTGTTTGCAAGACTGTCTGTGGGGTTAGTCCAGGTCCTGGCCGCTCACCCCAGATCAACCCTGCCCAACCCCATAGTTTCTAACATCTTTCTGCCCAAGTCACAATTCCTAACCTAAAATTCACAAAGACAGAAGAGCATCAGCTATGACAAATAATACTCCCACCAGTAACTTCAGTTTGATTCCCTATACTCCCCGAATGAATCACCCCACCTGGCATGCAACAGCTATAAACCCTAAAGTAGAAAAAAATTCCCATAAGGAGATCACTGATATACTTCATGCCTTGTTTTTGGTTTTTTGGGTCTGTTTTTTTTTAGACAGGGTCTCACTCTCTCACCCAGGCTGGAGTGCAGTGGCATGATCACAACTGTGATCCTCCTGGGCTTGTGATCCTCTTGCCTCTGCCTCTCAAATACCTGGGGCTACAGGTGCATGCAACCACACCTGGCTAATGTTTTAAAATTATTTTTTGTAGTTACAGGGGTCCCACTATGTTGTCCAGGCTGGTCTCAATCTCTGGGCTCAGGCAATTCTCCCACCTGGGCCTCCCAAAGTGCTGGGATTAGAAGTGTGAGCCACAGCACCCAGCTTCTTTATGCCTTTTTGACTAATACCTTTTGGCCTTCAATATTAATATGCAATATACATTAATAATTAAACTCATTTACAGATGAAGAAATAATAAGGTAAGAGAAACAGTTTGCTCACAGCTACATATCAGGTGGAAATAAAATCGTCCATAAAGCTCAGTATGCCCTCTGGAAGACCTTACCACCTTGTTTTTCTGGGCTTTTAATTCCTTGTTCAAATCTCTTCACCCACTAGCAGTGCAAAGATGAACCTATGGTGAAATTCACCTTCCACAGGTTCGGCTAAAAGATTAACGAATCGTACGGCCCCTGTGGGCAATGGAATAAGCTGACACTTGAGGATGAATTTCCTATTATCTTTTAACTAGACAGTCTAGCTTTCTCAGGGCAAGACAAAAATGTCCAAAGTACTTGTCAGCAGTTTTCAGTGGAGGAAAAACTGCAGTTAAAGCACCTTTACTGAAAACTTTGAGCAGTAAATTTGCTTACATTTAGTTTGTGCAATTTCGATGAGGAATTGGATGGTGAGTTGGGATCCCCCCCATCCTTAGTTTTTTGTCGTAGTTCTATAAATCTCGAAGTGTCAGCCACAGGCCATGCCTTTTGGTTTATTTAAGTGGAGAATTTTAAAAATCACTTTTTCCACTTCATAGCTCCTTTGGACCACGGTATAAAAATAGCGATGCCACCAGGAGCCAAACTCTTTCTGGAATAATGAACCAGGAGAGGCAGAGCCTTGCTTAGGGCAACAGAAGTTTTGCAGCCTGCCTCAAACGCAACTCTCATTTCAGCCACTTCGCTTCTTTCCCTCCGCTCAGAATGGTCTCAAAGGAAGGAGCTGTTTATGAGAAACTCCGCGGTGTGCCCAACACGGTTACTCTGGCGTCTATCACCCTCCTGGGGCTTGGCCACCTGTAAGAATCTGGAGAGCGGAGCGGGGGAGGTTGTTCGGGGAAGCGATTCCCTACGGCTGAGGACAACCGGGAGCACCAGGATTCTCTGGGAGGACCGGGCTGTCCAGTGGCACCACCGCCGCAGCCCCGGGAACTGGGCGCCTCAGGTCTCAGGCGCGCCCCAGGTCTCAGGCGCGCCCCGCCGCGGACGCGCACGGACTCGTCAGGCCTCGGCCCCTGCCGCGATGCTCCGCGCCACGCCGGTGCTGGGCTGTTCCGCCGCGACCTGCGGCGCCGCGGGGCGAGTCTTACCTGTTGATCTTGAGCGCGAACGCGCGGCGCTCTGCGCTTGGCAGAGTGGCCATGACCCGCCGGCGGCGTGGTGGCTTCTAGGGTCGCGGAGTGCGGAGAGCGGGGCCCCGGCGCGCAGCAGAGTCGCTGCGGAGCTTGCGGAGCCAGGCGCAACCCTCATCTGTCAGTCGGCACTGGAAACTTCCGCATTTCCACCTTCTGCGCTGAAATCACCCCGGGGGAGGGCCCAAGCTCCGAGCCGCTGCGGCCAGCCCCGCCAACCCGCGCCCGGCCTGGCACGCAGGCAGCGGCGGGAGAGGAGGGCGTGGACCCAGCGCGGAAATGGCCTCGGGATACTCGGGCAGACGGCGCGCTCTGCCCGGGGCCGCTGACCTCCGGCAGAAAGGAGCGAGGACCGGAAACTCCAACTGCCCGAAGCTGCGAAGCTGCCAAGCTGCCAGGGAATGTGGGCAAGTGGTGGGAGCCCCACAAATTTGGCGAGGTTGGGAATCAACCCTGGGATTCTTTAGGCTAGGTGTTATTAAGGGTTGACACCATTCTTGAAAGAAGGCAGACCAAAAAAAAAAAAAAAAAAAAAAAAAAAAAAAAAAAAAAAAAAAAAAAAAAAATTAGTGGAATCTATCAGGATTATTTTGCAAGCGTTATGCCCATCGTCCTTCCTGGGACACCTTAAATAAATATAATAGATTCATCCAAGGAATAAACATTATGACTTCTCAAAAAATTTTTTTCGTTGCAACCTGACGTGTGCTTTTCTCTGGACAAACATTGAATGTGGCCTTCTTGCTTTTCAAGGGTACACTGCGTCCAGGTTTATTTCAGTTTTAGACTGATGTCTGCTAAGAAGCCCAGCCTCAAACTCAAGAAACAGAAAAGTCCCAGTACTGACTGGAGTGGAAAAGCCTGTGTTCATTTCAAGGTGCTGGCATGCTGCTCTAAGCTGCGCTATACGAGGGCACTCTTCATATAATGCCTCCATTTACCAACCTGCTCCTAAAAAATACCAAAGCGGGCCGAGCACGGTGGCTCACGCATGTAATTCCCAGCACTTTGGAAGGCCGAGGCTGGCGGATCACCTGAAGCCAGGAGTTCAAGATCAGCCTGGCCAACATGGTGAAAACCCATCTCTGCTAAAAATACCAAAATTAGCCGGGCGTGGTGGTGGGCACCTGTAATCCCAGCTACTCTGGAGGCTGAGACAGGAGAATCACTTGAACTTGGGAAGCGAAGGTTGCGGTGAGCCAAAATCTTGCCATTGCACTCCAGCCTGGGGAACAAGAATGAAACACCGTCTTTAAAAAAAGAAAAAGAAAAACACCAAAGCAAAGGTTCTTTTGGTTCAAAGCTGCACTATTTAATATGATAGCCACTAGCCACATTTGGCTATTGACCACTGGCAAGATGTGGTCTGAATTGTCAAGTGCTGGTTGTGTAAAATACAGGCTGGAATTTAAAGAAGTACAGAAAAAATAATGCAAAATGTCTTGTTAATGATTTTTATGTTGATTGCATGTTAAATATTTTGGATATTAAAAAATTATTAAAATTAATTTCACCTGTTTGTTTTTCCCTTTTAAAGATGTTGCTTGCATTTAAAAAAATGTAAAATTGCATATGTGGCTCACATTTGTAGGCCTCATTATGTTCCTATTGGACAGTGCCAGTCCAATATAACCTGATTTGCAACCTAATATTAAAATGCCTAAGGACTATATTCAGTCTCTTCCTGATATAGCCTTCCTTTCTGGTAGGCAGTTTAGTAACTTTTCAGAACTGGTTAGGTAACTCCTCCCCCACACCCACTCCTCACCAAATATCAGTGCCCTTTTAAGCATATGAGACAAAGTTCCTTACATGGACTACATATGAAAACAAACCTAAAGAAAAATACAGCTCTTTTGAAATTTAGAGTTTCTGACTTTCAAAATTCTCCCTATTTACTACATTGGAATTTATGAGCAAACATTTGGATAGAAAAATACAAAGAGAACAAATGTGTAAGTACTTCTTCAAACTGAGACCCAACGAATGATACATAGAAAGCATTTTGCCCCAGAGGCTTCAGTCCATGCTGTACTACGCCAGCCTTTCACATGAGCTTCTCTGAGTTTCTGAATGTTTATGACAACACTTTCATATAGAACAAAAAGATACTGGTTTCACACAAACATAAAATTTAATGAGAGCATGTCAAATTTTCAGCATTTGCAATCAAGGAAAAGTTTTTGGGTGAATGTGGGAATCATAAAATCTTCCATCTTACCTCAGATCATGCTGCATTCAATTTAGTATTTGGTACCTAACCATGAAGGTTAGGCCAGCATTGTTATCCTCTGTGCTGTCAATTCCTGATGGTTAGAATTGTCTCCAGATTTCCTTAACAGTGTTTTAACAATTCACCATGAATGTGTTATTCATTAATTTAGTCAAATGCCTATTTTCAAGCTTGATCTGTTCTTGGATACATTCACATATTGCTGGCAAATAGCTATCCAAGAACCTTTCTTCCTCATTTTCACTGCCTCTTTGATTCTCCAGGGGCTCATTGTCCAGAGTGAACTCTGGGAGGACTCCTTTCCACATCTGATGGTCTTTCTTGGCCTTCTTCTTTCTCTGTACTTTTGTGTCATTCAATTTTATTTTTCAACTTATACAATTCTTCACTTGACTTCTATCTCAGACCATATATCAATTTTCCTAAATTCTCCTCTAGTTTTCGCCACTTCTTCTTCTTACCTCCCCAGAAAGCCAACCTCTTTCATTACATCACATCTTCCCTATTTTATTTAACAAAAAAACTAAATAATACTTATCTTGTACCAGGTACTGCTCCAAGTCCTTTATAAATATTAATCAGTTAATGGTAACCATTAAGTAATAACGTTAACTCCCCCTTTGCAACTGGGGAAACTGAGGCTTAAAGAAGTTAAGTGACTTGCGCAAGATCACAAACTAGTAAGGGAAGAGCCTTTTCCTATCCTAAAGTTTTGCCTGTCTCCTAGATTTCTGTACTCTAGTATCTTCAAACTCAAATATAAAACTAAAATTTCTCCATCTACCCTACTTAACTGGAAGCTAGCTATCCTTCCATAATAACCCATTTTTGGGAGGGAGCAAACTGCTTCCTTATTTCCCAGGTTTAAAACTTTGGAGTCATCTAGCGGTGGGAAAAGCAGGGAATCTGGGTTCTGGCTTCAGCTTTTTGCTAACTGTATGATCCTGAGTGAGTCACACTCTGGTTGGATCACAGAGGCCTATGTCTTGGAATGACTCCATCTGCATACATCAGCTCTAACTTTTTTCCTCCCGTGTCCTTCAAATCTAATCACTTACCAAGGTCTGCCATTTATCACTTATAAATATCACTTCTTTGTAAATATCACTGTTCTCACTGCTTCCATTCTGGTCCAGCCCTTATAAATTAATATCTAGATAACAAAAATAAGACTTTAAATGGCGTCACTGCTTGTAGTCTTTTCTTTCTCTTATCTAATCTGATTACACCACTAGATGAAGTTTACTAAAATACCTGTTTCGTCATATTTCTTCTCTGCTCATTTAGCTTTTGTGACTTCCTGTAGCCCCTATGACCAAGCGTGACCTTTTCTCACTAGCTTATATGGCCACTTCACAAAACCAGCTTTATTCCTTACCTTTCTGTTGGAACAGGGAACATCTCCAGCTTGTCCCTAGAACAGGAAGTACTCCTCTCTGCCCAGGGCCTCCCCCTGCTTATGTGATCCTTCCTGCTGTCCTCCCCCTACATCGCATCCAGTCTCTCCCCATTCTTTAAGGTTTGAATCAAGTTGCCATGTTTCATCTTTACCTAATGGAGTATTTCTTTCAGTTTGAAAGCACCATTTAATTAGTTAAAAGTGTGGGTCATTACCAATAAACACAGCCCAGTGAAATGCAAGATCCTGAGGACAGGACTACAGGAAAAAAAAAAAAGTGTGATCATTTTCATGTTCCCTTCCTTCTTCCCAAAAACCACCCAGGACCTCCCCAGATTTAGCTCAAATGTGACCTTCCAAGACCATCTAGTTAACATGACAATGCCCCTTCCCTTATCCTGACACTTTCTAACTCCTTTTCCAACTTTGTTTTTCTCCATAGCTGTTACCACTATCTGACATACTATACATTTTATTTGTTTGTTTATTATCTCTTATGCTTCTAGAATATCAATTCCATCAATGAAGAGGTTTTTGTTTGGTTCATCTGTGCCCTATCTCTAGGGTCTAGAAGCCTGGCACATAGTAGGTGCTGAAAAAGTATTTATTGAATAAATGAATGAATAAATGCTTCTTCAAGTGAACTTGAATGGGAATGGCCAAGTTTCACTTGTCTTTCGGGAGAAAGTGACAGTTTTTACCTTTTAATTCTCTTATATTAGTTGTGCCTTTTAATGAATATCTTTCAACTGTCTTTCGTATTTATTTCTTGGTTAGAAAAATCAAACCAGCACATACATTATTACTAGCAAGTAGATATCTTTATTGTTGTCTTGTAGTTGGTGAAACACATAGAAAGATTTGTGTGCAGGTATTTAAAACCAGTCATACTTTAAACATTAGAACTTGGAGCTCCTCATTTTCTTCACTTCATTCCTTATTTTGTCATAAAAAAATCTTTCAATATGAAAAGAACAAAGATTAGCAAACTTTCCTTTAAAAATTATCATTGTATTTTAGATATATATACATGTATATTTTTAATATTTTATATGTGTACTTTATTAGTTTTATATTTATATTTTTGTTTATATATATTTTTATATTTTGTTTCTTTTTTCTATATTTTACATGTATACTTAATTAGTGTTTTAAGTATTGCATTTAGAATATATTCTAATGTACAATGCTATTGCCTATGCAATAGGAATATTGGTAGCATAGCATTTTGTAACTAAAAGGATTTTGGATTAATTCATTAATGAGTGAGTAAGTTCACTCTGTCATCCATGTGTCTTCTCTTCACTCCCCTAGACCTTTACCAAGTGGTTACCATATGTCATGAACTGGGCTAGGTGATAATAGGGGCAAAACAAAGAATACTTGTTCTCTGACTTCCCAGAACTCATGGTCCAGGAATGAGACACACATAAAAAAGGAAAGAAGAGGCCCAGGCTCTGTGTGACAGCACAGGAACGTTTTGCCATATATCATTCTGGGCAAGTGAGGAAGCACAGAGAGGAAATGACTTGTTCTTGGGAGAGGGTGGCGGTAGAGTGATTGACGCTGAGGAAGAATGACTATACCAACACTGTGACATTAAAACTGGGTTTTAAACAAGTTCATGAGGCAGAAGGAGCACTTGTGCAAAGGCAGGGAGACAGGGGACACCACTACTCATCCTGAGAATTAGAAGAATGTGGGGAGCCCAGAGGTGCAGAGTGAAGTGAATAGCAAAAATAAAGCCTTGGAGGTAGGCAGGGCCTGAGTGTGAGGGTCCGTTAAAGAATTCAAGCTTGATCTCTCAGGCTTTTGAAACCCACACATGGTGATTGCTGTTTCTGTATCTAGGTCACAGTCTCTTGGAGGAAGCCTTGCCACCCGGCTGTCCACAGTGAGGATGCTGCTAAT